ACTACAAAACCGTGCAGCTAGAGTAATCACAGGTGATACCTATGAAATTCGCTCCACTGATATTTTAAAGAAATTAAATTGGAAAACACTCGAAGAGAAAAGAAAGGAGCAAAAATTAGCATATGTGGCAAAAGCCCTTTCAAACCAATGTCCTGAAAACGTTTCAACTATGTTTAAAATCTCAAATTCTGATAAATATAATTTAAGAAGCAATAACAAGATGCTGATGTTGTCGAAGCCTAAAACAAATTCAATGAAAAGGACATTCGGATCTGCAGCTGCTAAAGATTGAAACTATAATAGTAAAAATTCTAAATCGACTTAATTCATTTGTAATATATATATTTAACGTATTGCTTCGATCCAAACATTTCTTAGTATCTTTCTTTTAATATTTTTATAATAGTTTATATAAAAGTATTTCGAGTTTTAATTTGTATTTAGTAACACGGCCTAATCAAAAACAACCTTTATAATTTTTGTAAATACTGATAGGTAATAATAACCCTAAATGTTTGGGCTACCTGTGCTGTGAATAGTATAAATAAGGTCACTGATTGGAAGGTCAGAAACTTTTTTCTGCAAAGGAAAAAGCGGATGGCTTTAACCAATTTTTTACGTCAGTCTTCACCTCCGACACAAGTTCTTCACCTCTTTACACCCCCTCTAGTTCAGCTTCTAACTCTCTTGACTCATTAAATGTATCTGAATCCGATGTTCAGTCTTTGTTGTCCAATTTGTCACCCTCTAAGGCTACTGGTCCAGATGGCATTCCAGCTTACCTTCTAAAGCGATGTTCTGAGGTAATTGCCCCTTCTTTGACTGCTCTCTTTGAGTTATCTCTTCAGCAGGGTGTTTTTCCTTCTGAATGGAAAGCTGCTAATGTCGTGCTTATACCCAAAAAGGGTGACACTCATGAGGTCACTAACTACAGACCAGTTTCCTTACTCTCTCAAGTCTCAAAAGTTCTCGAACGTTTAATTTTCAGCCAGGTTTCTTCTTTTGTTGAAAACTCCTTGTACGACCTTCAACATGGCTTTCGCTGTAAAAGGTCGTGTATTACTCAACTTTTGAGTGTACTTCACGACCTTGGTCGTACTCTTGACTCGGGAAAGGAAACAGACCTGATTTATCTCGACTTTGCTAAAGCGTTTGACTCAGTGTCCCATAGCAAACTTTTGTTCAAACTTAAATCGTTTGGAATCTCAGGTCCACTTCTTAACTGGTTTGCTGATTACCTTCGTGATCGCAAACAGTGTGTTGTCGTTGAAGGAGCTTCCTCATCTTTTCTTAATGTTCCCTCTGGGGTGCCACAAGGTAGTGTAATAGGTCCACTTTTATTCATTCTTTATGTAAATGACCTTCCCGAGGTAACCAATAATAGTACCGTTGCACTTTTTGCTGATGACAGCAAGTGTTATCGTGCTATACGATTACCAGTTGATCGTGGTCTCCTTCAGCTTGACCTGGACGCTATGTCCAACTGGTCACTTAACTGGAAAATGAAATTTAATGTCTCGAAGACGCTCCTACTTAGGATATCTCGCAAACGTAACCCTCCAACTCATTGCTACTTTCTTAACAACGATCCAGTTAAGAGCATAGCTAACCAAGTAGACTTGGGTGTTGTTATCAGCAATGACCTAAAGTGGTCCCCTCACATCGCCAGCTGCACTGCAAAAGCCAATCGTATGCTTGGTTTTCTTCGTAGGAATTGTACGCAAATGTCTGATTTTCGCTGCCGTAGGCTTCTTTATCTTGCTCTCGTCCGATCTCATCTGTCATATGGTAGTGAGATCTGGGCACCTCAAGGATCGTCACGTGATCTTGCGATCATCGAGGGTGTTCAAAGACGAGCTAGTAAATGTATCCTTCAGGATTATGAGTTGCCATATCCTGAACGCCTTAAAAAGCTTAATTTATTACCAATATCCTACTGGATGGAACTAAAGGATCTCGTCTTCTTTTTTAAATGTAAGCACGGTCTCTTCGACCTAGATATCTCCTCTTTCGTCACTTTTTCTTCAAACAGCTCGTCTCACACCCGTTCAAGTTCGGACAACTTGCTTCGTGTCAATCATTGCAGGACTTCTCTCTTTAGGAACTCTTTTTTCAACCGAATAGTCTTTCTCTGGAATAATCTCTCTCCTACCATTCGTAATAGTTCATCCGTTTCCTCCTTTAAAAACAGACTAACTGTTCATTACTCTTCTCTACTTCATTCATCTTTCGATGTAAACAGAATGCGCACTTGGAAAACCTTCTGTTCTAAGTGCCGCTCTTTCAACTTAAGCTGTTGTTCGTAATTCGCCATGTTTTCTGTAAATTTTATATTTGTTATCGTCTTTGATTTATGTTTGTTATAGTTTGTTTTCATTAAGGTTGGTCTTCATATGGGGCTATTCATGTCCTGTTGACCATACCTTCAACCATATTATGTAGTTTTTTAGTCTATTTTATGTATGGTTGTAAAGTTAATAAATAAAATAAAATCTCTTTTTCACATATTAAATTTCCATATATGAAAAGCAGGTCATATATGAAATTTTAATTTCATATATGAAAAACTAAATTTCATATATGAAATCCATTTCACATGTGAAATTTGGTAATT